CTCCAGTTTGTCCCTGATGCTGTTTCAAGTTATATGAACAATCCAATTTGTCCGCTAACAAATTGAGTATTGCAGTGTAGCAAAGACAAGAGACAAAAGAATGTTTCTCCATCTCCCTAAGGTTTTTTTTTTTTCTCAAATTCTTAATTGCTTAATACTACCTTTTGTTTGAAATAATATCATGCTGTTATTCAAATTTAATTTGAATTAACTTTGTGGATTTAACAGAAGAAATAAATTTTAGTAGAGAAAATTGTGGATCTTTTTTGTCTTACTGTAAATTTTTTTGTAATTTTGTATATCAACAAAATTATGAGCTAGCCATGTATATCAACATAAAGAATGCTGGAGATATGAACCAGCCATATTTGATTTTTCGTTGACCCACGAAAGATCATTTATCGTAAGTTGGTGAAAGGGAGGCTGTTCACGGATCGGGTTGAGTCGATTTATTAGTGTTTTTGATTTATTTGGGTTGCCTATAGATCAAATCGAAACTAACCCTCTATTAAGTAAAACCGATATGATCGGTTTGTGTTTCAACCAAGGTTTAAAATTTCATCACGTCTTAGCTCGTATCAGCTGATGCATATTGGTTTTTTGACTTACCAACATGAGAGACAGTCCTAAATCAAACGTACTGTCTCTTTTCGTCGTGCCAAAATAGTATCGACTTCGTATTGGGCTGGTATCGGCCCATTTCGGTATGTCTCGGTCAATATGTGATGAATTCACTGTTACAAACAAAACAACCTTCGAAAGTGGGGTTCTAAACCCATTTCAGAAGCCCTCTTTCTTCCCTAAACCCTTTAGAAACTTGCTTTACATTCCTAGAGACTCAAATTTAGGAAAAACCCATCAAAACACCTACAAAATTGAAATATTCACCAAGTTTTTTAAGGTTGTTGAGAAAATATGACGTTTTTTCAAAATTTTTACATTTTCAGCCAATGTTTTTGTTTTTGTTTTTGTTTTTTTTTAGTTTGGATACTTGAAAACATCTTTGTGTATGTTGACCGGCTACTCGTGTGCAAAAAATCCCACTGACTTTTCTGCTATATGAAACTTTTTGTGAATATTTGAAGAAGTTCTACAATAACAAAAAATCTGAAAAAAAAAATGAAATTTTTAGGTTTCTCTTTGGATTTGCCTATAGAAATTGATTACATTGTATACCTATGGATGATCTACCATGTCCATAGATCAATTGAATTTTTTCTAAATAATTGTTTTTTTTTATTTTTTTATTTTCAAAATAAATAAAATATATATAATTTCTTTAATTTTATGTGATAGATCTACAACATACTAACCTTATAGGTTGAGTATGTTGAGATCTCTGGATGATCTTGATCTACATATCTATAGATCAATTGATTTTTTTTTCTAAATAATTGATTTTCTTATTTTCGGAATAATATATATATATATATATATATATATATATATTCTTTAATTTTATATGATCAAACCCTATAGGCTGAGTATGCTGTATATCTATGGATGATCTACCATGTCCATAAATCAATTGAATTTTTTTATAAACAATTTTTTATATATTTTTTTAATTTTTGGAATAAAAAATATTTATAATTTCTTTAATTTTATGTAATTTAACCCTATCGGCTGAGTATGTTGTAGATCTATGGATGATTTACCATCCATAGATCAAATTCATTCAAATTTTCTGTTACATTTTACTTTTCTTAATTTTAATTTAAATTTTAGAATAAAAAATGAAAAATAATTATTTAAATAAAAATAAATAATCATTTAGTTTCTAGAAAATTAGAATGAAACATGCAAAATAATTATTTGATTTAGTATGCCCATAAATCCATTCGATTTTTCTGTTACATATTTATTTTTCTTAATTTTAATTTAATTTTTAGAATAAAACAAGCAAGACAATTATTTGAATAAAAATAAATAACTATTCAGTTTTTAGAAAATTAGAATGAAACATGCAAAATAATTACTTGGTATACTATGTTTGTAAATCCATTCAATTTTTCTGTTACATATTTACTTTTCTTAGTTATAATTTAATATCTAGAATAAAACATCCAAAATAATTATTTGAATAAAAATAAATAATTGTCCAGATTTTAGAAAATTAGAATGAAACATGCAAAATAACTACTTGATCTATTATGTCCATAAATCTATTCAATTTTTCTGTTACATATTTACTTTTTTTAATTTTAATTTAGTTTTTAGAATAAATTAATGAAACATCCAAAATAACTATTTGAATAAAAATAAATAATTATGTAGTTTTTAGAAAAATAGAATGAAACATGCAAAATAATTACTTGATCTTATTATGTCCATAAATCCATTCAATTTTGCTATTACATATTTACTTATCTTATTTTAATTTAATTTTTAGAATAAAACAAGCAAATACATTGGAACTGAATTGAGTACTTTATTAAATAGTATATTTTAGTTCTGGTATGTTGATTATAATATGTTTTTTTCATAAAACCCACAAACATATTATTTCTATGTATAAATATCCCATTTGTGTCTTATATTTAGTGATACTGATGTTTATTTATGATTTATTAAAGTATTTATAGCATTTACATGTGTTTCCATGCGTATCTTAATTTTTCGTTCGTATCCATGCGTATCCCGATATGTCTCTCTTATTTGCCTTTCCAATATGCATAGCGTTTCCGATACTTTGAACCTTGGTTTCAACCAACTCCAAGCTTGCACAATGAACATAAAGTCAAAGTGCTAATATTATATGTAATCTTTCAGAATATATTTTTTGGAAATATATATTTAAAATCAAAACATATATACAAATATATTGGAACATACTTTCTAATTTCTGGAAATATATATCTGATATATTTCAGAATATATATATATATATATATATATATATATATATATTCAGATATATATTTATTATTTAAAACTATCTATATTTAACAGATATTTTTTCAAATAACTCGGTTCGTTTCAATTCGGTTTTCACACATAAAAACCAAAATCAAGCCAAATTATCGGTTTAATTATCTTTGCAACCCAAAACCGACCGTAATGAAAAAAAAAAAAACAACCAACTCAGATTGGGTCGGGCCGGGTTGATCAGTTTGATCGGTTTGGATTTATATGTGAACAGCCCTAGTTAAAAGGTTCCACAATTTTCCAATCTAGTATTGCTTACAAACGAGCAATGATATCAAATTTAGGTGAGTCTTCAAGATCATGTCTACTCCTAGTAGTCAATTAAGGAACTGGCAACATTAACTTCTAACTGTAGGCACGAATTTATAATCCTCTCGCCTTTCTAATATGGAAGCCCACTGCTTTTGAGTTTTGATCAATATATCTTAATCAAGAGCTGAGGTGATTTTCCATTTAAAATGAAACCCCCCAAAAAATTATTAATAATAAGATCAAGCAGAACGAAGAGGATTAAAATTGCAGATAAACAAGGCTTAATTTGATCTGGTCTCAAATTGCAGATGAACTAGGTTTGACCTTCTCTCTTAGGAAGTGCAGCAAATGTTCACGTTTCCAGTTGTCAACTCTGCAAATAAGATAAACCAAGGCAATATAAGTAAAATGAAATAAACTCTAGCTTTAAAACATATAAAAAAATGAGTGAAATATGAAAACTAGTGGAACCACCTGAACTCCTGAACTAAAGGTCTAAAGCCACATATAAAAAGGGGATTAAAAGGCAAGAAAATAGCAACAAGGTTAACGTTTGGACGATCAAATATATTTGCATCATCAATTTTAGTAGACTACATTGTATGGAAAATTAYAATAGATAAAACAACTAGATTGTAGTTTGCTTTACCATGGATGAGTAGGAAAAAACAAAGTTGGCTTCATCATCAATTCCATGATTGATTTTTTTAAACAAAGGGCTATGCTGCTTGTGTTTGGATTGTCAAGAAAGCCCTCCTGAAGGTTAATGAACAGGGCAGGGCCCAAACAGAGGAGGCCTTCCACTAAATGCCATAAGCCAATTTTCAAGATGGCCCATTTTGTGTCAACATTTAATGAAGTAAACCAGCTAGAAGACATGACAAACCTACCTAACGGTTTCCTTATGYTGACCATCATGAGCCAACATGACGAGTTTGGGTGGAGAATTGAAAACATATTGAACTTTGACAGAGGGGATTTTTAAATGGAATTGAAACACATTTTTAATATTTACTAAGTTTTTCTAATATTTATTTTTAGTGAAAGTTTATTGGATTTTTAAATTAATAATTTTTTAATTGTTTAACCTCAACCTATTTATATTATTACTATTCTCTTTCTCTCTCTCTCTCTCTCTCACACACACAATCTCTCTCTCTCTTTTAAATGTAATAATAACATGCATTAAAATAAGAGGCCTTGGAAAATCCAAAAGTCTCTTTCTCTCCCTTCCCCCCTCTCTCTCTTAAATATCTTTTGTAAAAGTCTCTATCTATAATAGTGTATAACTTTATTGAGGTAATAAAAATAGACAATGATTACTTTTTTTATATTTTAAAACAAAATAAAAATAGGAAAAATGCAATAATTTGAGAAATTAGATAAATAACTTCTCTCAAAGGAGAGGGTTGCTATATGAAACTATAAGGGTATTTTAGTAAATGACCCTTTCTATTATTTATCTTTCGCTTAATAAATCCCATGCATTGCATGGGTCCCCGTTGGTAATTACTAAAATACAATAAAAATTAATTTTAGTATATATAATTATATAATAAATACAAATTAAAAGTTTAAAATTATTATTATTAAATATTAATTTTTGAAAGTTATTTTCTTGAATTATTACTTAACATAAGTTAAACTAGTTATTTACAATATTATATAAAAATATTAAATTAATATTAGTTTCAATATCATGTTATAATTATTTTTCTACTTTTTGGAATTTTTATAATTTATTACATGATTTCTTTATTTTAACTATTTAAAATCTAGTTATATTAAATATTTTGTTATTTAAATATTTAAATAATATGTAAAATATTTAAATTTTAAAATACTAATTATTTATTGAATTTAATTATCCATGAAGTCATAATTCATACTATTATTACATAATTTCATTATTAATTTTGTAATATATTAAATTATTATTATTTTCAATATTATATTATAATTATTTTTTGAACTTTGAAGAATTTTTTTTATTTATTATATAATTTCGTTATTTTAACTATTTAAAATCTAGTTTTTTTAAATATTTAAATAATCTATAAAATGTTTACACATTTTTTGTTATTTGAATTTTATATATTTAAAACTATTATATAGGGAGTTATTTGCTTGAAGCTTTTTCTCTCTAACGTTTTCATGAAAAAAAATGGATGTAATCCTCTCCCACTAATTAGTGTTGCAAGCAGATTTTATCCTTCTTGACTTAAATTTGTGCCCTTGAAGTCTTATTACACTACTTGCCCATGATCTCCATATAGCATATTCTCATGTTGAATTTGTTTTATACAAATGTTTGTCTTATTTATGGATTTGGAATAAATATCTGCATTACTTTAACAACTATTAAATGCGTTTTCTTAGTGGATTTGAAATAAGTGTTTGGACTGGTTTGAAATAAATTATGTTATTGAGTGGAATGTTGATTACTATTTTGCAGGAATTATATGTGGAGGTCATGGTAACGAAAAAATAGTGGTGTGCTCATGCCATTTGTATATTAGGAAGCATTGTTGTGTTGTGCCTTTCTTATTTCTTTATTCAATGTGGGTGGTGTTGATGTGAACACAGCATGTAATGTGTTATGTGTATGTGCGTGCAACCTACTTAAACAAATGATTTGGCTGCCTATTTGATCATTTGAAGAAATATTGATCTATGCCTACTTGGCATCCTCTATGGTTATATGGATATTTCAACGCATAACATATTACAAAAGATGGACATATACCATTCAAGGTTCAAAAGTATTGATACGGGCAGATATGTGGGTAGGGTGTATGGCCTGTGTTGGTGATTTTTATGTTTTATTTATTTATTTTTTTCAAAATCAGTTTCGATATGTGGGTAGGGCGTATGGCCTGTATTGGTGATTTTTATGTTTTATTTATTTCTTTTTTTCAAAAAATTGGTTTAACTCCTGACTATCCTCTAAATCTTGGTCTAACCCGATACAACCGCTGGAATGACGTATCAGGAAGCCATCAACATGATATGTATCAACCAATACGGGTCAATACATGTCAATACTTTGAACCTTGACACCATCACATACCCAAACCCTTCCTCCAAAACCCTTTTGGTTTTATGCTTCCTAAAACATTAGATTTACATCTAGATGTTAATCCATGTATAATAACTAGCCAATCAACAACAATCGTTTTGACCATCAGAAGGGAATTAGTATAGTAGGATATGGTATCACATACATGCTGTTTGGAAGGGTGAGCACTTTTGGGATTAAATTTCAAGAAAATACACCCATGCTTCCAAGACCTGCTTTTCACAAAAAGACGCTTCTATCACATAGGCAGTGAGCAATACTATGCTTTTTGTTAAACACTGTTTTTCATGTATGTACTGACAGTAGCACCTCATAGGATACACATCGGTCAACCATTGAGTAAAACACTTCACTGATGCATAAAACGCCAAATTTACCGTTTCATGCATCGGTGTGATCCCGATTTTACCCAATTTTTTAATAATCAGCTGCACCAAATAATAAGATACATGGGCATTTGTTGAAATACCCATGTGGATCCAACATGTCACAATTTTTTTGAAAAACGGCCACGGTTCCAAACATCCCCATAGAGAACATAAACAGTCATTTAAAGGTTTTAGGCAGCAATGCTAATGCCAGACACAATACTGCTCAAAAACACTTCTTCAATGGCTAATCAACATAAAATACCAGCCAAACAAGTTTCATGTCAAAAATAGCTGGCATAGTTGTAACCACCATTGTTCGTTTTTTTCTAAAAATGCAAAAGTAAATCACTGAAGATACTTGTCGATCATTATTCTTTTTTCTAAACTCAAGGATGGATCGTTTCCAAAACCAAATAATATATAACATTAAGCAAAAGACTGATGCAAATGTCCTTTAATCATCATTATTTGACGGAACAAAATTAGAGTTGGGACTTGGGGAGAGATACGAAAGTCCAACAATTCCTAACAAAATCTCTCAGACGGTGAGACTTTAAAATTGTTGAGAATGAAAAGTTGTTCTATCCTTTAATAAACTTGAGGACTTCGGGATCAGTGGGAAGGGCAGGAATTGCGCCTTTCTTGGTAGTAGTAATTGCTCCACATGCATTTGCATATCTCAGTACTTCCCTTAACCTTTTTTCGTCCTGCATTTATAGAAACAACACTTTGTTTAAGAAGAAAAAAATATCACCTGATGTACAGGGTAGACGAATGGAGACAATTTTTTGACCTACCAATTCTACAAAATCAATCGCTAGTAAAGGAGAGGGGAGGGAGACTTTCTTGGTTATCGAATTGAATCGCCACAAATGGGTAGGAGAACATGAACGTTTTTGTTTTTATCAGCAAAATATAAAAAGATGTTCTTCAACTCTGTTTTTTTGGTTTTGTTTCAATATACAATACATACTTTCCTCGTAATCAAAACAATGGTTTTTAAAACAAAACAGATTTTCTAGTGTCTAAATTATATGATTTTTGGAACATGATATCAAATAATCAGATTAAAACAACTTTTTGAAACAAGAAATTCAAAACCAAACATGTTTTTGGTTTCAAAACAAAAAACACATGCACAACCAACAATAAATTTCATATTATTTTTGTATTTTTGCTTTCGGAAATAATCAGTTTTGGAACTTCAAACGGTTTTGACTTATTTTTTAAACGAGCAATAAGAAAAGTGAAAAACAATCAAAAACAAACAAAAATTTACCTTGTAGAACGCCCCTTAAGTGTTCCCTCATATTATGAGAGAGGGGACCCTAACCGATTGCTAAAATGTATCCCCATGCACTAATGCCCCCCCGCCCCTAATACCATGCTAATCGGTCAAAAATGAAAGATCCATCCTTCTTATAATGTTACTCTTGTAATAAAAACAACATTTAATTTCACTTACCTCAAGAATCGATAGATCGTTAACAATTTTGCGTAAGAGGGCGCCGACAAAGGCGTCTCCTGCACCAGTTGTGTCCACTGCCTTTACTTTGAATGCCTCGACTGATCCCCGGAAGTGCTGGCAAAATCCAATCAAATATGTTAGCCTGTGTTGAACAGATTCTCACATTTCTTTCATGACCCCAAAGCAAGTACGGTTTAACCTAGGAATATTAGATTTCCTTTCTCTATCCCTACTTGGGCCTCTGAAAATAAGACTAGTTGGAAAATGGAGATAGATATCAGCAAGAAGATTGAATTAATTTGAGGTAAGAAAATGCCAACCCCACCATCTCAATTCTTCCACGGAAGTAAACTGGGGCAAAAATATGATACCAATTGTATTTTCATGAAAATGCATATGGACGGTGGAGAAAAGTCCATATATTACCATTACTGATATTGATGGTGAAACACATCAAATGGTATCAAATCAGTAGTAGAGTCAATTGTGTCAAATCCCCTGGCAAATACAACATCTCTCGATCCCTCGGAAATTAGGATAGAGAGTTCAAGAATTAGGTTTTTTTCGTTAAGCTCAAAATTAGATTTTTTTTATAAGCTCAATAATTAGATTGGGCAACCGAATACTAATTCCAGTACGGACAGGCCCAATACAAATCTCTGAATTTCACTACAAAGTTATAAACATTAAAAAAAAACACATTTTATAACATCAATGCCCGTCCGTGAAAAATTCTGACACTGGGCTGAACCGTCACTCTTCCTAAATAAATAAAATCCTCGACTGTGCTAATAGAGGAGTCCATGGATTCAGATCAGCTATATCTTTTGTCAATACAAGACAAGTGGTTGATGATTCCTAGTTCCAAGCCAAGAGATTTCACATGGTAGCTGCCACTGGTTGGCATTAGTTGGTACAACCTAAAACATTTTTGGCTACCCAACTTTCTTTTTGAATCTTTTTTATTAGAACTGACAAATAGCTTAAGTCCAAACAAGGTTCCAAAATATAAGTGCAAACATATGACCAGTAACTATGTTTATTTTACAAATAGTAGGCTACCAATCAGCTTTCGTCCTGAACAAAGCAGACAAAAGTCTGAAACCCCACTGCACTACGAATCCATTATCCACCCCATTTGATATCCTGTTTCCCCTTTCCCTTTGAATGATACCAGCAGGGGACCCACCATCTATTTAATCTCACCACCCACAACCAACCAAGTAATTGGTTGGTCCCACCCGTTACGGATTGCGAAAAGCTGAGCAAGAAAAAATCTAAACCAAATGTCCAAGGACTCCGGCCTTGGGTTGATCCGTAGATTCAGACCCATTAGCAACTACTGACCAAATTGAAAACTGGTATTAACTACAAAATCAAGAGATTTTTGTTTACCTTAGCGTAATATCTGCAACCCTTCTCACCAAGAGTCACTAGCAGAAGCTTCAAGTTGGGATGCCACAGGGACATTGCGCTTTCATCGTCCACCTTATTACTCTCCGTCAGGAACTCCAGCTCAACATCGCTGACCTTGATCAGCTCGGCCTGATCCCAGATGCTCATGATCTGCTCCCGTGCTTCCTTTGCAGACGGCCATAGTGGCAGTCGAAGATTCGGATCGTACGATAGCAATGCGCCCGCTTTCTTCGCCTCCTTCATCGCTCTTATGTGAGCAGATCTGCACGGCTCCGTGATTAAGCTTATGGATCCGTAATGGAACACCTTTGCCTGCAATGCATCACATTCATCAAACAATAGATCCCAATCCAACGGTCTCAATTAAGTCTTCATATGAGATCGATCTCTTAGAAATATGACTCAAAAAATAATATTCAAAATCCAGTCTACATAGGGAGAACGGACCGATCTGATGAGCTCAAGATTCAGCTCCTGTTCCTTCAAGAGCATGTCGGCACTGGGGTTCCGGTAGAACATGAACTCACGTTCTCCATCGGATCGGAGCGTGACGAACGCTAATGCGGTGCGAGCACCCTTATCGAACAAGATCCCGTCGCCATTGACGCCGTTTTCCTTCAAGATACCGGCCAACATGTTACCGAACTCATCGTCGCCGAGTTTCCCGACGAAAGCGGATCGGCCTCCGAGGCGGGCGACCGCGATGGCAACGTTGGCAGGAGCACCGCCCGGAGCCTTCAAGAATCCCGGGGCTTCAGCCAGGGACACGCCAGAGACTGTCGGAACGAAGTCGATAAGCATCTCGCCGAAGCTCAAGATGAGACCGTCGGAGGACTTCTTGGCCATCTTTCTTGATATCAGATCGATCGAAACGCAACAGAGAGAGAGAGAGAGAGACAGACAGCAGAGAGAGAAGAGAGACAGCAGAGAGAGAGAGAGAGGAATTGGAGGCTTGAAGGAGGGATTTATAGAAAGAAAGTCGGAATTGGTTGGCGATGTATGGTAAGGATTTGACCGGGAACGGTGAAAAACTGAAAATATTTTTTTCTTATTTTACTAATTTCCTTTTATAATTAGGACCGTTGGATCGAGGTTGCTGTAGCGACTTATCATGTGCTTATTGCATTTGATCAGATTCCGTTACCATTTGGACATTGTTTGTCTCTCCGCACATTGGCGTATTAATCCAACAACTTGGGTTCGTTTGAGCAATTGAGCTTGTTGAGCGTGGGGGTATGTATGGGTACTGACAATGCGGTGGGACCCACGTGGAGGAGAAGTTCTGCCCGTTGCGATGTGTCAGATGGGAAGACAGGGTCGGTATGTAGATTCCAATTGGACGACAGGAATGTGATGAGACGTTGTAGAAGAAAGGTGTAAGGACCAAGGAGGTGGTGAGTAAATCTTGGAGTTAGATTGCAACTCCGTGTCCGGCTGGGGTAAAATGAATATAAATTCTCAATTCTGTGAGGGCCAATTAATAAAGCGGGTGACAGCATGCTGAGACGGATTGTCAGCGTCAGAAAGGACACACGAGTGGAAATACTGTACAAACTACAAAGAGATCCGCTACCTTACCCTCTGTTTGGATAGTTTATTTTTTTTTTCCTACCTTGATCTTTGCTCTAGAAAGCATTTGCTGAACAAGAAAGTGTTTTGAGCGTTTGGCAAGGGTTGATTTTAGAAAGATAACAGTCCCAAGCCGAAGCACTTTTATGCCCCAGAGCACAATGACTAAATCAGAAAGCCCAAATACGAATTCATTTGGCTAATAAACTGACTTTTCATATGTAAAACTGATTTTATTAACTTCTTCAAAACAGCCTAATCAAAGCAGTTCAATCAAAACCGAATCCCTTCCAAACGGGACTTTACATTTGGGGTTTTGTGCAAATCACAAACCCTGAAACTTATTCAAACTTAACCTTAAATAGTTAAGAATTTATATACGCGTCTCGTGCCTGATGACTTGATACATTTCTATGCCTTTTATCGAGTTCAAGAGTGACAAATTATTATTATTATTATTAGAAAGAAATATTATAAAAATTTGGATGAGAGGTCATAACTCACATGCTGGTACATAAAAAAAACGGATGAAAGGTCATGATTCATGGGTTAGGTGGAGTGGCAGTATCAGAACATAGTTTGTTAATTATCAACTGCACTCAAGCTCATTGTATTTAAATCTTTGTGTGAAACCCAAGTCAATTTATCACACCTATCCTAATAATCTATTCTTTTTCATTTTACACTTTTAGCTCATGTTGGTCCCACCACAGTTTCTCTCTCTCTCTCTCTGAGCTGAGATGAGATGAGATCCAGGTAGGTTGCTTAAAGGTACAAAAAGGTAGAAAAGGGTTTGGTGTCTATGGTCTGGGGACAACCCACAGCTCCAAACATAGTCTGGCAGAGCCATTAGATTGCAAAATTGATAATGGGAATCAGCCTTCTGGGCTGGCAATCTGATCTACCCCATATGGGTAAGCAGGAAAAATTTTGCATCTAAGGGCTTATGTCATGTGGGTGGGGATCCACCACTAGGTGGAACCCACATAAGAAAAACCCTAATACCAAAAATAAACATATAATAAGCTGATTTCAACAACAAAAAAGAAATAGTAAATGTATTAATTTTCTAGTCTTGTAGAACTTTTGAGTGATGCATTAAACAAACCCTCTTCAAGAAGAGATTAAGTGGTGTTGGAATTGATGTTGAGGTGTTTCCTACCATTTCATTCAATTCAAGGCCTTTTGATATTGTTTCTTGGCTCTTGCGCAACTATGATTTTCTTCAAATGAAATTTGTTTAGTGCATTAGTTTATGTGGACTAGTGGTGTGAAATGTTTTACTGATTTTGGGTTACAAAATAAAAAATTGAAATCTGAGTTCATCAAACCCATGAACCAAATTTAGATATCTGTTTAAATAATTCCCAAATTGTGCCCTTCTTTATTGTATTGCCTAGTCATAGGTTGCCAACTTGCAGCTATTCTAGGCAATGGTGGAAGTGTATCAGTTTTTAAACCACTGATATATCAAATAAAATTGTTTATTAGGAATTGGGGAAAGACATCTATCAGTTATTAATACCCTTCCTAGGTAGGAATGGCAACGGGGCGGGGATTACATTCTTCGTCCCCAACCCCGACCCCCAAATCAACCCATTCCCGTTCCCGATCTCTGACGGAAAAGGAATCCCCCTTCCATTCCCAACTCCGACAGGGATGAATTCTCTGTCGAAGACTCGAATCCCCAAAATTAAGAGAGAGAGAGAGGACCATTGGGACTTGGGAAAGTTTATGTTGATGATGACTGATGAGAGAGAGTCTGAAGGGTGATAGCAACGGCGACAATGACGGCAACGACGATCAGCGGTCTACGAATAGGTGGCGAAGACGAAGTCTCTTCCTTAGTTCTTTGGCCTCTCCTCTGTTCGATGCCCGACGGGCAAGTGGGCAATGGCAACAGTCAGCTACGGCGGTTGGCGGTCGGCGAATCGACAACGAAGACGAAGCTATGGTTTATTGGTTCAGTCGCCTCTCTTGAATCTTCTCTGTCGAAGACAAAAGAATGAAGACTAGTAACTGGTTTAGTTGAGGGTTAAGGGTTTTCCAAGTTTTCAAGTTTTCTTGATTTCTTCGAATTATGTGACCCGGGGCGGGGATTGTATTCCCCATCCCCGTTGGGATTCATGGGTAGCCCATCCCCGACCTCGACCCTGCCAAGGTACCTCCCATCCCCAACTCCATCGGGTCGGGGAGCCTGGGTACCCGTCGGGAACGGGGAAAATTGCCACCCCTATTCCTAGGCCATGTTTTCTTCAAAATTTGAAAACTGAAATCGATTTTAACCATGATTATCACCTTTGAATCACACAATACATAGTTTTTGCGTATCTGTATCAATACTTTGAATCGCAATTTAAGGATCCACTTGATTCATAGTTGAAATTAAAATCAAAATCCTTTAAAATTGAAATCAGAATCAGAATCAAAATGATCTATTCCTATAATCTGTTTGATTCAGACAAGAATTGAAAGTAAAATAAAGATAGAATGGAATTTCATTCCTAAGGGAAGAGAGAATGGCCATTCCATTTTCATCAAATGGGGGAATGCCATTTTAGCAGAAATGGAATGAAATTCGATTCCACCAAACCAAATAGTTGGAATCAGGCCCTTGGAGTTTGGGCCCAATTAATCAGGATCCAATTGGGCCTCATTTGGATCCTTTAAACATTTCCAAAAGAATGTACATGATATGGGATGTTTGGTACCATTGACGTTTTCAAAAAAACAGCACCACATCTTACCATTTCAGTGTTTAAAGGGTGCCATCTTCTATTTTATAAATCATTTTTTGACAACACTATTATGTTGCTTTTTTAAGAAAGTGTTGATAAAACACATCTTACCAAACAAAAAAATACACAATATAATTGCATACACTAACAAACAAAATGAGACGACAATAAACTAAACACCCACAAAAAAAAATGCACCGTGGGGCTAAAGCTTGGATTGGGGGTTCTGAATAATAAGGACAGGACTTAATTGACCTGACCCGACCCGACCCATATAAAGGTGATGAAAGAAAAGGACTGAAGGCTGAAAAGTGACTATCCACCAACTGAATAGTCTGATCAGAAAGTATAAAAATCTACGGATGTCAAGTCCAGTTGTTCACCCACCAACTCAACACTCTTGGTAGAAACGACAGAGCTCCACGGATTTGCAGTTAAAAATATCAGATGTTGGGTTTTGTTGTCGCAAGGTAAGTGGATCCAATATATGCAAGTTACAGTATAAAGCTGCAACGTACTGAGTATTATTATAATATATTAAGCAACCATGGCCCACTGTGAATGGATAAGGACTACCAATATCACTGACTTCTGATAAATTATCAATACCAATGGCTCAGATCAGTTCATGTGCTTCTTATTTGCTAGCGATTTTTTAGTCCCGATCTGATGTGTCCCCAATTGGGTGTGTGAAACGGACCACGAACATCTGAAACCCGATTCAACATCTGATTCGATTAAGCTCGGGTTTGGTTGCTAGCTGTATTAGATTAATAATCGGATCATAATGAATGGGCAAGAGTGAAATAAGGTGAGGCCGCAGAAATACACGGGAGGCCCTGATTTCACAGGTTTTAGACCAGGGTTACCCCATGGGCATAGGCACATAGCCGATTTCTGCTCGATTTTTAACTCCATCAAATTTAATCTAATTTATAGGGATGGCAATTTTCTTCATATTCGAGGGATACTCGGGTTCTTCGACCCGACTGGATTAGGTATGGGGAGTACTTTGGTGGATCGGGTCGAGCATGGGGTTATCATTGAATTCCCGATCGGGT